CCATTCCAGAGCCTGGCAGCCCTAACCATAAAGTAATGTCTCCTGATGTCCAGCCTGAACCTGAATTCTAACAATTTGTGGCCGTTATTCCTAGTAACCCGGGTGGTGCCTGGGGGCACAAAGCCTCCCCCAGTTCCCACTGGTGAGTTTGTAAACGGCCACCAGATCCCCTCTCAGCCTTCTCTTGTGGAGGCTGAATAGGTGCAGGCTCTTTAGCCTCTCTTCGTAGGTCCTGACCTGCTGCCCCTTGACCATGTGAGTGGCCCTCCTCTGGACCCTCTCAATGCTAGCCACATCCCCCTTGAAGTGGGGTGCCCAGAACTGGACGCAGTACTCCAACTGCAGCCTGACCAATGCCGCATAGAGGGGAAGGATCACCTCCCTGGACCTGCTTGTGATGCATCTGCAGATGCACAACAAGGTGCGGTTAGCCTTATTGACCACTTCCTTGCATTGGCAGCTCATGTTCATCTTGGAGTCAACAATGACTCCAAGATCCCTTTCTGCTACCGTGTTTACAAGAAGGGTGTTCCCCAGCCTATAGGTGTGTGTTGCTGGTTCCTTCTCCCTAGATGCAGCACCTTGCACTTGTCTGCACTGTATTCTATTCTATTCTCGTCCGCCCACCTCTGTAACCTGTCTAGATCTGTGTGAAGCTTTCATGGAGTTTGCAATACTGTGATCCTCCCCACAAAGGGGCCTGGAGATGCGTGAAGTATTCTTCTTTCTGCCCCCAGCCCATGCACTCAGTGAGGAGGCATGCGACCTAGAGCAGGAGCTGACTCCAGACTGTATTTCTGAGAGCAAGTACAGCCCAGCTCCTTGGATGACCCAGCCTGGAGCCAGAACACTATGTGGGCAGTGGGGTGGAGGAGGACCTGTGTCATTGATCTCAGCAGTGCAGCAGGTTCTGGCTGGGCCAGGAGCCCAACTTCTGGGCTCTGCCATTAGCTACTAGCTAGGACCTATGCCATTAGCTGCCTCAGTTGGATTAGCTCCTCCCTTCCCAGGGGGCTGAATTTGAGAGCCCAGAGCTGGCCCTCCCCACTGAGGACCATGCCACAGGATGGGGTTGGCAATACATTACCATTGGGCTCCTGTGGAGAGCTGCCGCAGCTCAGCCTCATGACAATGGGTGCATAGGCCATCTTGCCCTCCACGCAGTGTTTCCGGATGCTGTCCAGGATGTTAAGGGGGAAGTGGATGTGCAGGTCACAGAGGAACACAATGCTGCGCCCATCCTGAGGGAGGCAGACATATGGACAGACAGGCCATTAGGATCATAGGAAAGAAGGGAGAGAAGGGACCTCACAAAGCCATCTAGTCCAACCTCTTGCTCAAGGTAGTCATCCCTAACTAAAACATTCCAGCCAAGTGTTTGTCCAACCTGCTCTTGAAAACTTCCAAGGATGGAGAGTCCACTATGTCTGTAGGCAGCCTATTCCAATGCTTGACCACCCTCATGGTCAGAAAGTTTCCCCTAATCTCCCCTGCTGCAGCTTGAGGCCATTGCTCCTAATCCTATCACCTATGGCCACAGGGGAAAGCCCATCTCCATTATCTCTATAAACACCCTGAAACTGTTATCCAACCCTCCCTCAGTTTTCTCTTCCCCAGACTAAAGTAACTGTAGCTCTTTCAGCCTTTCCTCATACATCATGTTTCGCAGGCCTTTAGCAGACAGCAGACCCCATGACAAGCAAAGACAAGCTGCTCTGCACAGATAGAGCCATCATTCCCTCCCAAAAACCCCAGTCACTCACCTCAATGGTATCCACCCCAGCCTGCAGTCCTGCTGAGCGCTCAAAGTTCCCTGTGCGCTTCAAGTACTGATACCTGGGAATAAAGTGCATGGCCAATGCAGCGTGTCAAAGGGATGGGGCTGCTCACCCTGGGGATCAAGGGGATGGAAATCCAGCAGAGCAGGGAGCCAGTGTAGTTAACTGAGAGGGACAGAGCCCAGTAGTGTTCACAGGGCTGAGTCAGTCTCACGAGAGATCTCCAGTGATCTGGGGAGGGGAGTGTGGGGGATGGTATAGCAGGGGAGGTAATGTTACAGAAGCTTGTGGAGGGTCAGAGCTTGAAGTAAGAGTGGGACCAAGCTAAAGAAACCTGAGCAGCAGTTAAGATTCCCTCCACACAAACTGCAGGGGTCTTGCTGTCCTAGCGGGCAGAGATGGGGCCCTAGGGGACCCCCCTCCCCACCTTCCCTGCTGGCTCACCTCAGATAGCTGAGGGGTTGGGTGTTTAGACAGGGAGAAGGTGCTGGGGTGTGGTGCCAGGGTGGGAAGTGGGACATCAGCAAGGATGGGCTCTGGGGCCTGTGTCATTCCCTGCCAGGTTACCGAGGCAGCCGGGCTTCCTGCAGTGCCTTCTCCACATCCATGTCGTCGCTGTCAAAGTCCACCAGGATGATGTTGAAGTTGGCATCCTTGGTGTCCCAGTACAGGCTGGCCATGTCTGAGATGAACTGCTGAACCCAGCGGGCCTGGTTCTTCACTGCCAGGCACAAGCACAGGCACCACTGAGGGTCAGTGTCTCACATGCTACCTTGCTGGGGCCAAGAGCCAGACCCCATCCCACCACGTGAGGCCTGAGATTTATAGGACAATCTTGGCACATCTGGAGCTTTGAATGTCTGCCCAGAGCGGCTGGACCTACAACATCTCTTCTTCCACTGGAAACCTCATCCCTGCTGTGATCTGAGCTGCCCAAGGAATAGGGGGGCAGGCTCTGCTGCTGCCACAGCCACAAATAGATTAAGGCTTACTCAGATTTTGGGTCCCTGGACACCCAAAACTGTTGCACAGCATGGAGGAAGAGATGCCACAGGAGCCCCCTGACAGAACATAAGCAGTCAGGCCATCACAGCAGGGTGAAATCCCACCCTGGAAAACCTCATCTGCTTCAACTGTGCCCAGTGACACCCATGAGATGACAAAGCTGCTGCGCTGTGCGCAGTCAGTGCTGGGCACAAGCACTTGGGGGCCCAGGCATGTCTAAGGCTCAAGGTGGCCCCAGGCTCTCATTCCTGGGCTTAGGAGGGGTCTTGTGCTCACTGGGAGGAGGCAGGTTGTGCCCCTTCCTCTCTCCCACGGTCTCAGAGCATGCAGGTGCTCTGGGGAGCAGAGGCCCAATATAAATTATGCTCTCTGGGCCTTGCTTGACTGCCCTGAAGACCCCCTGAGCCACTCACCAGGAACCACAAAGTGCACCATGACGTCCTGTCTCCAGCTGAGGCGCAGGGGCCGGCACAGGATGGGCTTCCCATAGAGCAGGTTCCAGGTGCTGGGCTGAGGCTGGGACTCAGTGGCCATGAGGGCTGGGCCATCAGGGTTGGCCTCGGTGCTGTCATCTTGCTTGCCCTGGTGCAGCAGGACGTAGACATACTCTGAGAGCCGCACAGTTCTCTGGCCCCTCTCCATCAGCTCCAGCTCCATCAGGTAGCGGTTCCCGCGGGCCGTGTCCCGCCGCTTCTCCACATTGACAATCCGTAGAAGGGTGTAGATGCTGAGGGGAGGGCAGGGCAATGCCCGGGCAGTTAACTTTCAGGGTGAGACCACCACCTTTGTCCCCTCAAATGTGGAACCCAGTCCCCAAAGCTTGCCCACAGGCCAGCAGAACATGAGGGATCCACCCTCCTGGGGGTTTCATCTGGGGCCCCTCCAACATCAGAGGGCTCACAAGGGTGAGCTCACCACCCTCCCTCCCAGCTGAGCCAGGCCCCATGGGGCCACACTTTGCAGCAGGTTAAGGGCACAGCACAGGGGGCAAGGGTGTTACAGGCACAAGGACTCTTACTCACAGGGGGTGGGTCTCCACAGGCACATCCAAGAATGGCTTCTCCGTGGTCTCACAGCATCTGTACTCCCCTCCCTCCCCACCAGAGCATAGCCCTTGCAGGGCAGGGCAGGCTGGGCAAGAGGCAGGGCTCTCCACTCACCCCAAGGAATGCAGGGCTGGGGAGCTGTTGAGGGAGCAGGGCATGGGTAGCCCAGGCCTGGGTGAATATGGAGACCGCACTCACCTCTTTGCTTCAGGACTGGAAGACCTCTCCCAGGCCAGGCCTGAGTGAAGACTCACCCTGTCCTGCTCCTGGTAGATGCCCTATACTTAGTTTGCCCAGCCTGAGCTGTCTGAGCAGGAAGAGGACAAGTCCCACTCCCTCCCCTAGCCCCTCTCCTACCCCCCGTTCTTCTCGTTGAGCTTCTCCATGTACTGGGCCACCACATCCACCACCTCACTCTCACTCAGCTGCAAGTTGCCTGACACGTTGCAGCGCAGGTCATTCCAGTCAGAGCGCAGGAGCTCAAAATCCATCGAGCTGACGCTGAACGTCCTCTGCCAGTTGATAGCATCCTCCAGCCAGCTCTGCTGCAGCTCTGCATTCTCGTAGCTGTAGTCTGACAACTCCTCTTCCTCCCCCTCCTCTGGGCCCTTGCCCAGGTGCTTCCCATCCTCCTGCTGTGACTCCGTCATCTCTGACATCCGCAGGAAGGATGTCACCCTGGTCCCCTCTGACAGGGCCACCTCTGAGGAGTTGTAATCCATGGCAGCTACCCCTACGGCCCTGGCTGGGGAGGCAGCGGTGACCTCAAGGGCCTCCTTACTGAACAGTCCCTCTGCCTTGGGTGTTAGGATGCTGGGTCGCACTCGCTGCTTGCCCCTGGCCCCTGGGTCCTCTCGCTTGTAGAGCTGCTCCCACTTCGTGCCTCTGGCTTTAGGACTCTTCCTCTTGGAAAGCTCTATCTCCCTGGAGAGGTGGTCCATAAGCCATGGTGACCTGTGGCTGGGGATGGTGTTTAGCTTGCTGGAGGGAGCAGGATGCCGCTGTGGGGCCTTAGAGTGGAGGTGAACCTTCCTTAGTGGTTTGGGGTACAGGAAGACCCCGGGGAAAGCAGCTTCCTGAACCGGGGCCTTGCGCTTCTTGGGCTGCAGCCGGGTCACGTACACTTTCTCCTGGGGCTTCTTGGGCTCCTTCTTGGGCTGCTTCTCCTCCTTGGCCTTCTTCTCCTCCTTGGGAGCCTTGGCTTTGCTGCTGAAGATGGGGACGGAGAGGTGGGGCTGAAAATTCAGGGAGCTGCCTCGCTTTGATGGTGACAGCAGCCCCAGCCCATCCTCATCTCCCTCATCTGGCTCCTTGGGCATCCAGCTGAGAGATCGGCCATGGACCACAGTCTGCTCTTGTGCAAGGGCAGTGTTCTCATTGTCATGGAAACCCCCGGCCATGGCTAGGGAGCTGGGGCTGGTTCCATCATGTGCATCCCAGGCTATTGGCTGCCCTGGTGGTGCTCCTTCATCATTAACCCTCCCTGGCTTGTGGCGGAAGGTGTAGTAGTCCACGTCATCCCCATAATCCCTTGCAGTCAGAGGTATCTCTTTCCTCTTGAACCCAGTGCTCAGGCGTGAGTTTGGCACTGCTGGCCTCCTCTTCTTGGCATCGGGAGGTGGGTTTGTGGGCTCGGGGCTATCTGCTCCTTCCTCCTCTTCTTCCAGGAAATCTGGAAAACAAATAAATACCCTGTAGGCTAATGAACCACAAGGGGAGTCTAGAAACACCACAGTACCCGGGACTCTGATGTTTCATAGATTTCATGGATTTCTAGGGTTGGAAGGGACCTTGTAGATCAAGTCTGACCCCCTGCTCTAGGCAGGAAAGAGCACTGGAGTTAAGTAACCCCAGCTAGGTACTTGTCTAATCTCTTCTTGAACACCTCCAAGGTAGGGGAAAGCACCACCTCCCTTGGAAGCCCATTCCATATTTTGGCAACCCTCACCATAAAGAATTTCTTGCTGATGTCCAATCTAAGTCTACTCTCCTTCAGTTTGTGGCTGTTATTTCTAGTAACCCTGAGGGGCACCCTGGTAAATCAAGAATCCCCCACTCCCAATGTGTTTGTAGGCAGTCACAAGATCACCTCTCAGCCTCCTCTTGTGGAGGCTGAAGAGATTCAGGTTCCTCAGTCTGTCTAATGAACACACACGACAGCAGGTTCTCATAGTCACTGCCCGGGTAGGGTGGCCCAACAGCAGGTTTGCTGCGAGGAGGTCTTTTAGACTGCCATTGAGTTCAATTCATGAATGGTGTCTTGGACATGGAAGTGCTGCCATGGGGCAGGAAAGGGACTTTCACTTTCACTGCTAGCTGTTGGGTCTGGCCTGGTTAGACCAGCTGTGTGGGGCAGAGGCAGCAGCACTTAGCACTTCTTGAACTCAGGAGCAGAATGGAAGGGCTCCTGTCGCACACACAACAGCTCAGAATGACAGAGGCTGGTGTGCACTCATTTGTCTCTTTCTAGGCTGTGAGCTGACTGGCAGGCCTCTGGGGTGCACCGGCTCTGCCCTCCTCTTCACTCAGCTGACCCAGGGAGGCAGATTTAAGTGGGCTACTAATACATAACAATAGCAGCCATGTTTCCTTCTCATGGTGCCTTCCATCCAAGTAGCTCCCAGAACATCTCATGCACCTTTCTGCCTCCTAAGGAAGGAAGGGAAGGCCCCTGGCACCATCTTCATAAACAAGGCTACAGCCATCCAGGACATTTTTTTTTACCAAGGTAGAGAGACAAAGGAATGCATAAAACACCCAGAGAGGCAGAAACCATTAAAATTGACATGGAGAGAAGGAGAAAAACCACTGGATGCTCAGGGCAGCTGTGTGTGTTCAGAGAAGAGGTTTTGAGAGAAGGATGGCTCAAACCCAGCACTGGTGAAAGATCTACTCAGGTTCCCATCATCTGTTTCAGCCCTCATCCAGCTCTGATGACCCAGTGTCATGAGCATTTATTGTGCATATGATGGTGGCCCCTAAAGGCCACCCCAGCATCAGGGCCCTATGGATGAAGTGCTGTTTACATCTCCACTAATGTGACAGATCTTGTCCCACAGCAGTCCCAGTTGTTCTGACACTACATCTAGCACAGCGGTCAGCAGTGATTTTGGCCAGACAGCCAAGAACACCCCAACCTCAACCCATGCCTCAACTTGGCATGCCAGAGGCAGACAGCAGGGGAGCCATGAGGGGCCTGATTCTTGTTGCCAGCAGTGGGTGCATGTGTGCCTCGGGGCAATGGTGGGGGACAGGCCAGGGTTGTGCTGCCTTGGCCCCTTTCCTGCCATGCTGCCTGAGTCACACGTGCACCTGCCACCACCATAGAGCCAGTGCCAGAGCTCTGGACCCCAGTGCAGCTGTTTGCAGCCTTCCTGCTGCAGCTGCCCCAAACCCAAGCCAGCTGTAGCAGGCAGCTGGGAAGCTTCAAACAGCTGTACTGGGGTCTAGAGTCCTGGCATTGGCTCTGTGGTGATGGCTGCACATGTGCCTCAGGGTGGATGGTGGGGGAGAGGCTGGGGTTGAGCTGCCCCCAGGTGCATGTACAGCCACTGCCACCACCGAGCTCGGATGGGGCTCGAGCCTGGTGCAGCTGTTTGCAGTCTCCCGGCTGCCTGCCACAGCCAGCTCAGGCTCTAGACAGCTGCTGCCTGCCATGAAGCCTGGGCTACTTGCAGCTTCCTGGCTGCCTGCTACGCACAGCCTGGGCTCCATGGCTGACAGCAGCTGCTCAGAGCTGGGGCCAGCTATGGCATGCCAAGCAAAATGGCCTTGGGTGCCATGGTCTGGCAGCCGTGCCGGGGGTTGCAGACCCCTGGTCTAGGCCAAAGTGCTCCATAGACAGGAACTATTGAACCCTGCCCTCCCTTCCCGGTGATGTACACCCCATCTCCCTTTTAGACACAGGGAAGCCAAAGCCAACAGAGCTGTCTCACCATGAGGCAAACAGTGACTGGTTGGCAGGGTCATATCTCACTGCCCAATGACTCCACCTAACACAGGCCACAAGCACTTTCTCTCCATGTCCTCTCGAGGGAGCTCCCTTCTCTGTGTGTCCCAAGCTTCCCTGTCAGGCTTTGCCCACGGTACAACCAGCTTAGTGGCCTTGAGGGGAAGGAGGCAGAGGAGACTTTTACCTTTGCTCATATCCAGGAGATTTGACTGCAAACTCATTCACAACAACCACGGCAGTGTGTCAAAGGGATGGGGTTGGTCTGATCAACACTAATTAACAGCCCTGCACTTGGGAAAGGATTTGGAAGGGAAAGAAAGTATTGATCCTCTTTGAAGGCAATTAAAACATTGCTTTCAGCAGAAAATTGGCTTTGGCCTGACGTGGTGTTCTGCCTTCCAGTGGCGGAGGCCGCCTGTGTGGGAGAGGGGAGGGAGGGGAGGGCTCCTGGGAATGCGAGAAAGACCTGCAGTCATGGGCAGGGAGCCACACATTCCTGTCAGGCCCAGAACATCCTCTGTGATGAGGCAGAAATCTACTACTGATCTGCCTGGGGCCTTTGAGACAGGCTGAGAGGTCATCGGTGCCAGCAATGAAACGGTGCTCACAGGCACAGGCTGACTGACCCATTCCTGGCCTTGTTAATCACTTCCATTAGCTTTACTGCAATATTTCTACGGAGCACTCTGGTAAAGTCGGCGCCAAGGTCACAGATGGGCCAGTACAACTGGGGTGAGGGAACATGGTGGCACCACTTCATGGGGGAGGAGGGGATGCATGGGCCTACTCCACTGGTAGGACCCAAAGATAAGTGTCATGGCACTAAAGTGCTGGATTCAGTGGCTGAGACCATTGGTAATGACGATCAAAGGTTCGGCCTGTCTAGGAAGGAAGAAGGAGATGTCCCCCTCTACACAACCTTGCCCGAGTGAGATCCCCCCTTAACTCTTTCCCTCTATGGGCCACAATTTCCACTTCTCTGCCCAGCTCAGGGATTCTTGACGCCCTACTCTCCAGCCAGGCCCATCTCACCAAACAGTGACAATGCACAAAGCCTGGATATGCTAGGCTGTAAAACACAATCTCTGCGAGCAGATGGCACACCAGACTAAGACGTCATAACACCGGCCCTGTGCCAGGCAGCACAGGGAGGGTTGGAGCCTGCCAATCTGGAGTGATCTGCTGATGCTGGGTACCCTGGGGCTACTTACTGTCGGAGTTCAGGAAGAGAAATGCTCTCTGGCGAGGGTCTTCCTCTTCTTCATCCATCTTCATATACTTGTAAAAGCCAAACCTGGGAGGGAGGGAAGGGAAGGAAAAGCAGGAGATGGAAGAGCATGTAGCTGAGTACATGCATACACACATACACAAACACACACGCAAAAGCTGCATTTATGTTGCATGACAATAAACTGGGAGTCTCTTCCAAGCTGTAGGGTCTCAACAGACCTGAAATCTCCAGACTGAGTCTTCAAGAAAGACAAGTCTCAAGCTAGGCTACTACCTGCTGCTGCAAGCCAAGTGCTGTTTGGGACTTCTGTGCTTGGGAAACCCTAACAGTTTCCCTCCAGGTCTTTAACTGCATATATGCAGCAGAAGAGAGATTCTCCCCTCCCTCCTGAAAAGAGGACAAATGTAGAGCTGCTGGGGAAGGAAGGGGAGAGAAGCCTGAGTCTCTGTGGTCTGCCAGCTCCCATTAAGTGTAGAGTTTGGGATGGTCTGAGCCAGCGGGTGGGGAGAGATGGTTGGTCAGGAGTGGGTTTAACCCAGGTCAGCGCTGGCCCTATCTGCATATGTGCTGGGGGCCATATCAAAAGGGTTTGGTCGGGTCTCAGTCACCAGGAAATGGCTTGGTACCACAAGGACTATGCACCCTGCTGGCAGGGTCAGTTGAGCCCAGGTCCATCCAGCCCTGGATGCGCCCCTCTCCACAGCAGCAGCATCTGGGCATGGCAGCTGCTTGCCTTGCCCTGACAGCCCCTGTTTGGGCTTTGATTCAGGAGTCTGTTTACAGCAGTTGCATGCCTAGGGGCTGTGCTGACCACATGTCCTGAAGGACAGCCTCCATTTAACCACAACTGCATCCCAGGGACCCTGCCATCCCCACTGCCCGCTCCCATGCCCCACACTTACTTCTCCAGGTACAGAGGGGACTCTCTGTAGAAGCACTTGTTCTCTGTCTCCATGTGGGTGAGACGGGTGAAGTCATTGGGATACACGAATGAGAGGTAGACCTGGGGAGCCAGGGACATCACTGAGAGTGGGCATGGGGTGGGTGGAGCAGGAAGGGGGGCCGGTCTCAGCCAGGGTAGTGGGGGCACATGTGGAGGAGGGAGGAGGATGGACCAAAGTGCCAGCAGAGGGTGCTCTTGGTTAGGACTCTGAGGCACCCATTGGCACGATCTCCTTAGGTGGGTGCGAAGCCTGTTGCTCATCACCCTGTGACTTGGTCCTTTTCGAAGGTGCTCTGATGAAGGCCTGGCACCAGAGGGGACCAGATTGAGAGGACAGACTCAGTGCTGGCATTATGGCTTCCCAAAGCCACGTTGCACCCTCCACCCCACAGCTTGGCTCTTGCTCTCCAGAAACATTTCCCCTTAGATTTTAACTCCAATAAAGAGTTGAGCAGAAAGCCCTTTACCTTGTGAAGGGGCCCGGAGGTGGGGTGGTGCCTATGCATGAGACACCACAGAGCTTGTATGAGAAACTGGATAGGGATGGAGGACTCAGTGTGGGAAGGGTGGCTGCTCTGTGGAGATGCAAGGTACTAGGAGGCCCAGACAATTGGAAGGTGCCTGGAATTCATCAGTGTGAGCTGGCAAGAGGCTGGCAGGGCATGTTGGATCCTGATGCCTCTGCCTCTGGGACAGGGTGACAAACTGACAGCTTTTGTGGCCCAGGAAGGAAAGAAGTCTTTATAAAGGGACAGCAAAGGACAGTACCATCTCCTGGGCTGGTCAGAGACCTCTGAGCTCTCTGCTGCCGTGCACCGTCTCCATCCCCCCTTAATCCCCTGTGCCAGGGAGACACTTACAAACTGCAGGCCCTGGTAGCGGGCAATAGGGAAATCCTTCACCACATAGGTGGGGCTGTAAGCGCAGGGCACCAGGACATTCTCCACACGGGATGCCTCAATCTGGGGAGCTGGGGGCAGGCAGTCAGGCAGTGCAACAGAAGGAAACCACAGCTCAGGCTACACCACCAGTAACCAGGGACCCTCAGCCACCCCAACAGAGAAAACCTGGGCAGTTCCCTCTAGCCCAGCTAGCCAACCTGGGAGACTGTCCATCCCTTGCTAATCCACTGCAGGTTACTGCCTATGGGCTGGCCCAACAAAGACTGTCCCTTGTAGCCCAACCCATCCCCAACAACTGCCCATTATGGACTGTACCCTATAGCCCAGTCCAACCCAATCTGTCCAAATGCCCATCCATGTCATACTGACCCTGTTGGCCAGGTCCATACACAGAACTCCCCATTCCCATACTGCCCCTTACAGATCAGCCCCTTCCTAGACAGTTCTCCATAGCTCCTTCCACCCATATTCATCCCAAACTGTTCCCTGTAACTCCCCACTCCAGCCCACCCACTCCATGTTGGTCCCCTGTAGACCTGTCCATCACAGATTACCTTCTAGGTTGCTCCTCACTGGGAGAGAGGTCTGGGAGAGGGAAGGGAGCCATTGGGCAGCTTTTCCTGTCCAGTCTTGTACCCTGTGCCTCCCTCCACTTCTCACATGACTAACAGCAGGTCTCCAACCCTAGAGGGGTCAATTCCCTACCTGCCTCAGCCTCGATTTCCTCATATACCCCTCCCAGCCACCTAAGGAGCCAAAAGCACTAGCTTCACTTACTGAGGAAGAAGGTGTCCCTGGGGTCGGATCTGAGCATATCGGCCCCATGCTCATCCCTCTGCGTCTCCCAGAGGTAGCTCCCAGTATGGCTGGCATGGGACTGTGGGATGTGGTCCACCTGGTTCATCTTCAGCGTGGATTCATCTGAAGGAGGCAAAACACAACGAGTGCACACAGGCCAGTGATCAGGGGTCTCTGCTTACCTCTTGGTGAGCCAGGCTGCAGGGGTTCCTGATGCAGCTAGCCATGTTCTTGAGAGCGACTCCCTTGGGAACTCCAGCCCCTGGGTGCTCCTGAGGGACCACCTCAGCTCCAGGATCCTGAGAGGGATGTGCCCCAGCCCACAACCCCAAGTCACACCCTGCCCATAGAAGTCTCTGCCTAGACTGTGGAGCTGGTTAGCAAGGAGAGGAGGATCTCTGCTCCCCTCCTGGTAGCGCTGGCTCTGTTAAGTCTCTCCCCTCACAGGTTAACCTGCAAGGCAACTGGCAGAAGATATAAATAGTGCCAAGATAGCAGCTCAAATGGCAGGGACACATCACATCCAATGCATGGCTGGCACAGAAGGGCAGACAGCCAGAGGCCCATAGTTAACAAGACCAACTCTGGACACCATTGATGATGCTGTGACTCAGCTCCCACTCTTGGCTCCCATTTAGTGCTTCGGTGCAGGGTCACACCCATCAATGATTGTCCGAGCAAATGTGTAGGATAACTGGCAAGAATTCATCTCCTCCCCTCCGGGAAGAAAATGTTCTGCTCTGGAAAGAATATGCTCCCTGCTCACCAGGCTGCAAGGAACATCACTTGTGCCTGCGAGGAATGATACGCCACATCAATTAAGTGCTGCCTCCTCCTAATGTCATGTTTATCAGACAAGCCTGACTGTTTGCACAGAGCTGTGCTGGCTTATTGAGATGGCTGCCCACGGAGGGTTGGGAAACCAGAGACGCTGTCTCCTCCCCCGGCCTCTGCTTCCCGCTATGGAGCAGGGTGTGATATCCCCATTTATGCAGCTTGGTAGAGGGTATGGAATGGGGGATGCCTGGAACACAGTCAAATGGTACATGCATCCGAAAACACCTTCTCCACCATGACTGTCCTACATGTCCATGTCTTGCCAGTGCCCCAAGGTGGACATCCGCTCACAGTGGAGAATGGGAAAGAGAGGCAAAGGTCAAAGTACAGGTCTGGAAGACAGGAGATCTGTATTCAAATCCAGCCTCTACCACAGACTTCATAGATTTCATAGACATTTGGGTGAAAGGGACCCCCGAGTCCAGCCCCTGCCCCAGGGGCAGGAAGTCAGCAGGGATCATAGGATCCCAGCAAGATAAACATCAATTCTAGGACAAGAACTTTACTGATCACCACAGCACTCATCCAAGTTGCATGCGATGCTGGAAAGATTTCATAGAGTTCATAGACATTTGGGCTAACATTTGGACATTTCATAGACATTTGGACTTCCTGGGCAAGTCACAGGAAGTGGTGTTTTCAAACATAAGGTCCTAATGAGAGGGTTGAGGTACAGCTGTTTAGCACAGCGAGGATCAACCTTTTTGGCAGGTGCGTCACAGATAAGTCATGTGAACTCCCCAAGGGCCACTACAATTGCCTTCCCCAGCCCGATCTGTTGCTCTTGCTTTCTGTTCCCTGCTCTATGTTCTCTGCCCGATGTACTGCTTTGCTTTCTGCTGCTATATTCTCTGCTCCTGCTCCAATCCACTGCATGGCACACACAGACACTGCCAATGCCACTTGTAATGCATATGCCACAGGGTAGCCACCCCTGATCTAACACTATGGACAGATGAACAGATTATACCAAGCTAGCAGGGGGCTTACCATGCCTCAGCTGTTTGGCAGTAACTGTTTCCATAGTAACTGAGTCGACACTTACCTCTAGTAAGTGGAACCTAAACTATGATAACTTAGGTATGTTTTGTTCAGGACACTGCTTCCACTTGCCACAGGACAGGAATGGACATACCATACAATTACTATGGAGCAGCTGACGCACAGCAAAGCCTCACCCCATCCCATTTAACTCAGCATCATATCTGTATGCCTACCCTCAGATTTGTTGCATGCCTTCTGTGTATTCAGTGTCCCCCAAATGTTCACACAGCTTCCACTTGCCCATGGAGGGCCAGGTCCCTACATCTTGTTGGAATCATTGGCAGCTGTACCCTGCTTTGGTGACCTGACTAGGAAGCTGTACTCTCAATGCCAGCCTGAAAACACACCAGCCTTTTAAGATGAGCGACTGCTATGACGCCTTCCCACGTTTGTTCCCTGGGACCTAATAACACGCTCTGTGCTGTATGCCTCAGCCTTGGGATTTGAATACCAAACCAAATCTAATAATGACAATCATAAAGAAACGGAACGACCGTTTTCAGAGCTGACGGCTCTCGCTGTGATTACAGCGCTCAGGGGCAGAGTCAAAGGGAAGGGGCTGTTCCGCTTTGTGGAAGCGCTCACAGACTCTAATTCCCAGGGTCACACAGTGGAATTAAGCTTTAAGTGATCTTTCATGCAACTTCCCCATCTAAAGGGAGGCCGGCATATATGGGAGGTTAATACCACCAGAACATCACTCCCTTCCCTTGTTTTCTTTTGCAATCTTGTGGTGGATTCACTTAAAATCCTGAGAGTGATATTCATCGGCACTCAGACTAGTGCTAGATGACCCCAGCAGAGAAACCAGGACACAGGAGAAACACCTGTAGGAAGGTCACCTTTTTACTGCTTATATCTATATAATTGCATCTACTTAATTGACTGGCAGGTGCAAGTCCGCAGCATCGCAGAGTCAAGAGAGCTATGGGGAAGCAAGCAGGCCATGAACCCAGTTTGCCACTTGGCAGTGCAGAGCCTGAACCCCATGCATAGATGGCAGGGTACAAAATGGACCATGAGTAGCTGGGAGTCCAGGCACCCAGCTGATGCATGTGGGGATACTTGGTGGGTTGGAGGGATCATCTCACCAGGAAGGTGATCTGACTAAAATTTCCATCATCCATTCAAAGCAGGAGCAAAGGGATTCCCTTTGTATCATGGGTAAAGGGTTGTACCTGTCACAGCTAGGTTGTACTCCCTGGAAACAATCTGCATTACACATCCCCACTGGCCATGTCCGCTCTGACCCACAGCTTCCCCTACTCACTCCAGTGCAGCTCAGCCCTCTTCAGTTGTCAGCCTTCTGGGATCAACAGTGTTCACCTTGAACAAGGGGTCTCCCTCAGACACTCCCATGTCTAGAGCTCCTTCTCTCCTCCTGCTAGGAACCATTGCCATTGTCCATCCAGCAATACGAGAACATAGCCCGAGAAGGCCTGTCCTCACAGGACGTTTCATGTTGTGCAGGGCCCATGTGTGGAAATGATTAATCCAGGACTCAGAGCTCACAAGATCTACTGAGATCCAAAAAGATCCCAACCTGCCTGTAGGTGTAGGGCAATGAGGGGAGGCTGGATATTTCTGCAGCATCTTTATGAACAGGTGTGTGACTCTGCCTCCCTGTGGCCTTTGTATTGCTACCCACAGGTGTAAAGAAGCTGAATTTTCCTCAGGTACCAGGGAACAAGGGAGACCAGTGAGTGGACATCAGCTTTTAGTGGCTGGCAGCCAAGCAAAAGAGAACCAGATTGATTTCAATGTGAAACACAGAACTGTAGTGGAGCTCTTGGTCTTCAGAGCTCTCCTGGTGGTACGATCCCATCTGGTGATGTTGTGACCTCATTTGGGATCACAATCCACAGTTTGGGAACCGCTGCTTTATCATCTTAGTCTTGGCTCCATTGCAGTTGGCCAATACATGGCAGCTGGGCTTATGTTACTGTGCCCCATGTCATGGCAGGCTACACTGATCCCTCACAGGCAAAGTATCTAGCAGGAGTTGATGTACTTTTTGGACTGGCTGGGCAAGTCACAGGGAACAACAGCGACAATGCTATAGCCAGTGACCCTGTCTTGGGGATGCAGAGACCTGGGGTCTAGCCACTATAGGGCTACAATCCATGGTTGCTTACAGAAAGGCCAGAGATATGGCATTTCCTGCAAATCCATGACAGTCACTTCATAATATTTCACTCCTAGAGGAACAGAAGGCACCTAAACACAACCAAAGAGGCCTCTGGCCTGCTATTCCTGAAGGCTCCAGAATACTGCAACTAGCATGTCATTGTCAGCTGGGCAGGACCAGACAGAAGAATCCTCTTGCTTCTCAGAAGGGCAGAGTCACCTGCTTGGGCCTCCTCCAAAGCCCTCACCATCCAAGCCCTCATTACGTGACAATGTTAGCCAATGGCTGGCTCACCTCACAGTGACTACGGTCAAGCTGTACCTGCAATAGAGTAGCAGTAGCCACTGATTCAGTGGACAGGGCAGAAGAGTAAGACTCCTGTCATGCTAGGTACCCACAGGCTTCCTGAGGGGCATGGAGGGAGGCAGGGGTGTCTCCAAAAGCAAAGGGTTTGATCATTTGCTGCAGACAGGCTGAGCAACCCCTCCTTGCTGAACAACAGGGGAAGGATACAGATGGTCCTGCTCTCCATAACAAATGAGGAACATCCGGCTTCTCCCTATGAGAGCTGGTTCCTCCATCTCACACCACATCCCCCTCTTCCCAGTCTTCCTCCAGAGCAGCCAGCTGAGAAGGGTGACAGCACCTGTCTGTCTGCAGCCACCCATCACGGGGAGGAAGCAAAGGCATTAGGGGCCAAACAAGACCCCCACACTGACAGGTAGCATCTGAGGGAATATACATGTGTGCACCATCCAACCTTCCAGCACCAGTACCCACCCTGCTGCACCTGATCTGTCTTTTACCTAATGATCATAGCCCCTTCATGTGTGTGGAACTATAAGGCCCATCTCTGTCACCTTCCAGGGCATGCTTCTTTCCCAGCCCTGTGTGTATCGAATGCAGGGGTAGGATCTATTCATCACAAGGCTCCTGCTGCCAGGCCGTCTAGGGTAGAAGGCAGAAGATCTATAGATTTAATTAAACACTGCACCATCCATCCCTGCTTACAAGACAGGCCATCGTCACTCAGGGTCAGGGCTATGAGCTGAGAGGTTTGCCTGGCTGCTATTCTCAGCTTCCCTTTGTCTTGTTAGGAAGTTATGAGATGGGACGGCATGGGCCCTGGAGAAGGCACCTTTCCCCAGAGAGGGGAGCATCTCTGTGCATGGACAGAAGTAACTGAAGCAACTGGAGTGGGTTTGGAAACGTTTCAAAAAGGAATCCTTTCAGCCGGGGGACACACATACAGCCTCTGTCTGGAATGTTTCAAAATTTCTAGCTGGGGATGCTATAGGGGGTGGAAGATGTCTTTGGAAGTAGGGGAGGGTGATGGTGTAGAGGTCTGTTTGGCTCCCCCCACTTTCTAGCCAAACCTCTCCACCCCTATCATCACAGCAGAGAGGTAAAGGGGACTGGGGCTTAAGAGGCCAGCATCAGTGGCAGCGGGCCCCTGACTGCAAAACCTGGGAGTGGGACTCAGTCGCTGTCTAGTCCGGCAGACTGTCACCCAACCCGCAAACTGTCTATGTGGCTCTCCCTCCCTCGCCTGTAGAGGGTGGGTGAGAGCAGAGCACTGCAGGCATCTCCTTTTTCAGCAAAGTAAAAGCTTGGATGAATGAAGGGAATGCTGTGGATATAGTGTATCTGGACTTCACCAAGGCTTTTGACAAGGTCTGACATGACCTTCTTATAAACAAATCAGAGAAATGTGGGCTAGACAAAACTACTGTAAGATGGACAGAAAACTAGCTCAATAGCCATAAGCAAAGGGTAATTATAAATGGTTCATGTCAGAATGGCAGGAGGTTTTGAGTGGAGTCCCACAGAGATCTGTTCTGGGCCCAGTGTTGTTCAATGTCTTTATTACGGATTTGGATGCTGGCACAGAAAGCTTCTTGAGTAAATCTGCAGACAACACGAAATGGAAGGATTGTGAATATGCTGGGGGACAGAAATGCAATTCAGAAGGATCTTCACAGATTGGAAAGCTGGGCTAGAGCTAACAGGATGAAGTTCAGTGCCAACAAATGCAAAGTGCTAGAAGAATCAAAAATAAAAATACAAAATGGGTGACACGTTGCTGGATGGCAGTACTACAGGGAGATCTAGGAGTCTTGGTGGTCACAGACTCAAAATGAGCCTGCAGTGTGATGTGGTTTTGGGATGCATCAATACAAGCATTAGGTGCAAGACACAGAAAATGATAGTGCCTCTTTACTAGCACTGGTTAGGCCTCTCCAGAGTACTGTGTCCCATTTTGAGCTCCACATTTAAAAAAAAACATGGAGAAGATAGGATCCAGCGGTAGATGACAAAAAATGATAAAAGACTTGGAAGACAACTCATATGAGGAGGGGTTGAAGGAGCTACGCAAGTTCAGCTTGTGAAAAAGGCACTGAAGAGGGACATGATAGCAGTCTTCAAATATCTGAAGAGCTCCCATAAAGAAGATGGGATAAGAGAGTTTCTTGTTGTAGAAAGCAGGACATGGAGCAATGGCTTGATGTTGCAGCAAAGCAGGTTTAGATTGGATATCAGGAAAAACTTCTTCACTGTTAGAACAGTGAGGCAGTGAAATAGACTGCCTGGGGAAGTTTAGGACTCTCCATCACTGGAGGTGTTCAAGAAGAGGTTGGACAAGCATTGGTCGGGGAAGATCTAGGAGTAGCTATGCCTATACGCTTCTGTGAGCATTTCCTTTGCTTCTGGGCTTTGCTGGTTGCCACAGCCACACTTTATAGCTTCCAAAAATGGGTCCTTTATTCAAAGGCCTCAGGAAAAATCTAGCCTTTTCCCCTTCAGACTAAAAAAACCCATGCCTTATTCTAGTTTGTAAAACAAAACAGTGCCTATCTTCCACAGGACCCTTCTGTTCCCCTGCCCTTTTTCAGATAGCCCTTTCAATGTTCCCAGCTACAGATCCATCCAGCAGCCTGATCCCTTTCACTTGCACCTCATCAGCAAGCAGGAACTTTTAGATCCTTAAAGGATCTCTGTCCTGTTACAGCATGTTCTGCATTTGCACTGCCACATCTGTTGCAGTTGCATGCACGTTTGCCTAATTTCATGGCCACCTCTACACATCAGTGTCCACACAAACGCACATGCTTTTGTGCATCATCACACAAGGCACACGTATGGACCGCCATCCCCATGGCACGCAGCTTTGTGCATGGGTTATGGACACAACTCTGGCACCTAACTGCCTCCCTAAGAGGGATATGCTCACAGAGGGACAAGTGGAACAAGCAGGGAGGGCAGCAGCCCAATGTGGGGAGCCTTACCTGTGTAGAGTGAGATGTAAGGGGAGTCGATCACCTCAAACTTCAAGCTAGGGAGGAAAACTCGCCACTGGAAGAGAGGGAGAAAGAAGAGAATGAGAGCTGTGGCCAGGGAAGATGGAGTGCTGCTCTGCCCTCCTTGCCCAGCAGAAATCCCAAGGGAGATCTGGTGTGCCAGCAGGAAGCCTACAGCTCCAGCAGCTGATGACTGCCAGGCAGCTGCAGGGCCTCCACACACCTGCTCAGCCTTGGGAAGCTTCCCAGTGCCAGGCAGCAGGAAGCAGCTGTGCCCAGTCCTCCCCCTACTGAAATCTGTGGGGAATGACACAGGAAACAAATGTGCCGCACCACAACAAACACGCTGCAAACACAAACGCACTGCACAAAAAAAAGCTGGGTTAAAATTTTCAGGCACTCAACATTAATGCCCGTTTCATCTACACACGCCCCTAGACGCCAGACCTTCCCCAGGCCTGGCTATGAGGGAAGCGAGGTAGGGGAGGTGCTGGTGAGAGGTAGGTGCTCCAAATTGTGGAGGGCTGTCATTCTCTAGATTTTCTGGTGCAAATCCATGGTGACTCCTGACCAGCATTCAAGCCACGCCTAGCCTAGAGGGTTTTTTTGCATTGATGTAGTTCCCTATGCATTGCCACATGCTGGGGCTTGCACTGGGGGGCGAATGCCCAGTAATTTATCAGGACATCTCTGCACACACTGGCACAACATCCATCAGAGAGCTTTGCCCTGAGGCAGCTGCGCACATGTGGTCACCTGGGCGCAAGTCTCCCTTCTGTGGACAAGCTCATACACACTGTTGTGCCAGGAGCCTTCAACACAAGCTGATGGAAATGGCTCCAAATTTACCCTGGCATAAATGCAGGGCCAGGGATTTATAGCTAGGGATCTTGATATGCTGGACCCAACAAGCCAAATACCCTTGTGACAATGAATTCACCTGCCCAGGCTGGGGAATTACTCCTGCCAAAGGCATTTTTAATCCGCATGCTGTGGTGTGTGAGCTTATGTCCACCTCTTTGGGTTTCACACATGCACAAAAGTTGTAGTTGGTTCTGTGCTGGGTTGCACACACACATGCACACACACACACATGCATGCACGCATGCACACACACACACAGAGTTCTGTGCTGCCTCTCTCTCCCTGTGAGTTGCCATGTTGAGTGATGGCTGAAGAGAGAGAAGCACCCCATGGGTGCATGTGTGCGCATGCATATGTTCGTGTGTGTGGGGTGTCTGCCTAGCTATTACATCTCACACCTCCAGAGGAGGCAACGCCTTGTGTAAAACAAGCTTATTTTCCCTGCCTGTGCCAGGGACTTCACAAGGAGGCCAGCAAGCAGAGAGGAAGGGAGAGGGTGTCATTTGTGGTGAATGGCTTGCCTTTCCTTTCAGCTCAGGAAAGGGAATGAATGGAGTCTCTTTAAAAAAGGCTAGCATTTCACCTCGAGCAGCCCTCAGTGCTGGCAAGGCTTCCATGAAAGGAGCGGGGCTGTGCTGAGAGGAATCAAAATGAGATGGAGTCCCTTGGAGACAAGGAACATTTTATCTTGAGGAGAAGGCATCTAAGATGTTTCCAGCTAGCAAAGCCCCTCACTTGAAATGAAGGCACTGAAATGAATCCTAGCTAAAGGGAAGATTCTCTATCAAGAACCACACAACAGCTCATAGCAGATCCTTTTTCCTTCTTGACTTTTCCCCCTGCCCCTCTCTTCAGGGTGATCCAGATAGGTAGACAATATTATGTCTTAGCTTTCCAGCCCCTCCTTTCCTGCTGAACTAGGATTGGTCCCCATCCCCCTATCCCAAAACATGTTAACAAGGGTCCGTTTGAATGCCCCCTGTGCTTGTGATAGCCTCATTACAGATTTCAGAGCCATTCTGAAACCATGATGATGAGCTGTGGCAGTACCAGTAAGGGAGCACAAGGCATTTATGGGTTTGGGTGCTACCTAAATGGAGCTCATTTCCGTATGTAATTGTTCAGGCTTTGGGAACAGAGTGGTGGATTTGAGACAGACGCCCACAGAGCTGTTGCAAAAGGGCAGATTAGCCTGCTGTTTTTAAAGCCAGCCATACGGGTATTCTGAGCCTGAGAGATTGGAATTGCCAAGAGACAGATGTTCCAGACAGGAGCTGGGAACATCTCCTCTGCACAAGACAGATTTTATTGAAGTTATCAACTGGGGACTGATAGAGAGCTCAGAGAAGTCAGCAGGCCCTCAGACATCTCCATTTTGCCCAGCTTCTTCTGTCACCCTTTTCTATGCACAGAAATAGCATTGATTTAACTTAAATCAATATTTTTCCCCCAAGCCAAAGCAGTTAAGCCAGTGAACATTCCTGCTTCTACCCTAGTTTGAGAGTGACTTATTTTGGCTTAATGTAAACCTGTTTCTAATTGATGTAAGCTGTACTGACGGCTCTCAGGTTTGTATTGACTCGAAACGATCCACCCTGCCCTCTTCTCAGGTTTACCTAATGCTAATTTTAAAATATCCCTTTAAATGGAAGCAACTGTACAGACAAGCTCTTAAGTTCTCAGAGGTACCCTGGAAAACTGCAAAGGCAAAGATACATTATGGTTCCTCTCTGTTTTACTTCTTTTAGGAATGCCTGAAAGGGTCCCTTCCCTCTCCCCCTCTGACTTGCTTTTCACCTTACAAATCCAGGTCTTGTGGCTGCTAGAGACCCAGAAGCAGTTGAGGAAATAGCAAGATGGTGCCTTGAGGAGTGCCTCTCTGCAGAAATCAGTGTCTCATGCAGCTGAGGTGGGAGCTGGGAATTTAGGGCAGAGACTGAGCAGGGCAGGAGTTACCCCTAGGACATGTTTGGCTCCATCTCCACCACAAAGCCTAGAGCTGCAGGGACTGTGGGGCCAACACTTTAAAAAGCAGTTTCTGATTTGTGGGTACCCTGCTTGAGATGCTGAGGGCTTAGCCTTCCAGATATTCTAAGCATCTTCTGACCTAACCTGCTGGTCCTGCTCATTTCAGTTGGAGAGATGGGTGCTCAATGGATCTGAAAACCAGGCTGAGTACACTTCAGGTCAGGCACCCAGATGCAAAACTGATTCAAGGAAGACCTGGCCTATTTGCTTTGCAGGTTTTCCAGAAAGGGGGACACTGCCTTACAGGTGAGGGTGAGGGCCTCACAGCTCCCTGTGCAGAGAGAGACATCAGCCAGATGCCAGGATGCAGCTGCACATGGTGGCACTGCCTGCTAGGATGCCCTGCCCAACATGCTGCACAAAGATGATGAAAGCCAACAAGGAGTTGTGAACATCTCTAAGGAGAGGAAAAGCCAACTCCGGAAGCAGGAACTACAGGTCCCCTTGGAAAGAGAGACTAGGAAGCTTAAACTGGACAGTTACAAGCTCAAAGAACAGGAGGGAGCAGGGAAAGCAGAAAAGGGCCAGTGGGTGTCAGGGCTCAGGTTTCCAATGGGATGCAGTTGGGTGTGTATGTAGGGAAGGTGTGTAGGGCAGGGATAGAGGGGAGGAGTTCATTTGTAAGTGCAAACATTCCCCATTTTCCTCCCAAGAAAGCCAGCCTTGCTGGTGAAAATATCACATCTGCACCCTTTGGACACAGGTTTACATCTGGACTTTGACCAGGACTGTAGCACACCCTGCAGACTCCTCAAGAAATCTCTCTCTGCACTACCAGCTTTGTCCCAGCACAAAGTGTCTGTGCCCATAGCAGCAAGAGCCCTGGCCCTGGCCCTGGTCATGGCAGCAGTGTGCACTAGGCAAGGAGGAGCCAGGCAATTTTACTCACGCCCACTTCCACATGGTCTGATCCCCGGTCATCCTGCTTGTGGAGCAACTCAAAATAGTAGCGTCGGGAGGACATGAGGCTGTGCAGGAGGGAGACAGAGAAGTTTGTTAGCACACAGAGGCTTTGTTCCCCCGACAGTGGCCTCCCTGCTTCTCCCTCCACGGAGCACCCAGTGACATGCTGGCCCCAAGAGGGAACCCCGGCACAAAACCCATCACAGACAGACAGCACGAGGGGCTGTCCTCCCATGCTCTCTAACAACCCCTCAGGAGAGGCACTGCCTAGAAGGCTTTTTGCCACTCAGTCTATCACTCCCACTTGGACAGACAAGGTGGTGGTCTTGGCACTCACAGCTTGGCCACCCACAGCAGTCAGAGCTCCTCAGTGCTGGGGCTTCTCCTGCCTATGTTGGCATGGAGGACCTGATCCATTGACTCCACTGAGCCTTTGCATTGACCTCTGCAGAACAAGGGGTTGAGCAGAGGAACTCAGAGCATCTTTGTGACATCTGTATCGATGGGAGCTACCTGGGAAATGGCACACAGGCCTGGCGGAAGACCCCTAGCCAGCCCCACACTGACTGCAGCAGCAAAGAGAGAACAGAGAGGCTGTTGATCCCCTGACCCTGCAGCAGCAAAGGAAGTGGGTGGTGTCAAGGAGGGGATGCCGCTGAGCCAGCTGCACACAGTTCAATGGCTTGTTCAACATCCTAAGAACCACACCTCCTGAATGATCACTGCACCCTCCTACCCAGTTAATCCTGCCTGCATTTTGCTAGGCCAGAACTCAATTCCCCCTTGCTGGGAGGGAGCTGGTGCCAGCAGGAAGCCCCTTGGCTCATGGGATCCAGGAGAGGGAAAGAAACAAAAGGGATGGCCATAGTAAACCAGCCTGGAACAGGGCTTGCTGCCTAGTGCAGCCATGCTGAGGGGCTGCTGAAGCAGGATAAGCAAGCAGGAGAACAAATGCATACGAGCAGAAGGCTGCCCGACCCAATGGCCTGTTCACCCCTAGCAGGGAAATCCTGGCTCCATTGCTGCTTCTGTTGCTTCTCTCCCATCCTCAGGGGCTGTGCACAGCCTGCAGCCCCTGATGGGCCATGCTCACAGCTCAGGACAAGCAGGGGGTAGGAGGCTGGCCCTGTGCTTCCCCTCCAAGCTATGGGATATGAGGCAAGGAAATGAGAAGGCTGCTGTCAAGCAAAGAGATGTTCTGCTGTCTCTGGAGCTGCTGTCTCTGGAGAGAGAAGAGAGGGGGTAGGTGGCCTGAGGGGCAGGGGGGAGGGAGACTATAAGAATGCAAAGGGAAGAGAGAGAAGTGAGGAGAGTGCTGCTGACAGCTCTGCTCAGGAGATGCCAGCTCCTGTGCTGCCCTGGCAGCGATGAGATGCAGAGGCTGGGGGGGATGCTGAGAGCCTGCTGTTCTCTGAGTGCTGCCTGTCAGCCCCCATCAGCCAGCTGAACTGCTCTCCCCGCCACCTCGGGGGGGGGGCTGCCTGTCACTGCTGCCATGGCAACACCATTGGGATCGATTCTCCACCCTCTCGGTGGTGGAAACAGGTGGTGGGAAGTGACCTAAACCTGGGTGCTTCTTGTGCTATGCTGCGGCAGGTGGTGAAGGGAAGAGGCTTGCTAACCTCTTTGGCTGGTGTTTCATTGTGCACTTTTGTGGGCATGAGCCCGAGCCTCAGCCTCTGGGCAAGGCAACAAGGGCAGCTGGCCCAGACTCCTTGGTATTCAGGCAGGGTTGTGGGTAAGAGGCCTGACTCAGCTAACTGGAGTTCACAGGCAAATGGGCCAAGAGGCCAGGTAAAGGCCTGATCCCAGCTTTCATCTGCTCTGAGAGGGACACTGAGCCTGGCTACAGCCAGCTGAATTGTGGGCTGTGCCATGGCAGGCTGGCAAATGTTTCGGCAGCTCTGGTGTCAGGCTGAGGAGGGAGGTCGGAGGGCTTTGGCAAGACCTTTGGCTCCAGGAAGGGCCCTTGGGGGATCTAAATGGTCTGGGCAATGGGTTCTATCTGTCCAGGATGAGCAACAACTTCCAACAGCATCTGGTGGTTGGGACACTCCACCCGTCTTCCCCATCAGCCTGCTGGTGCTTTGTGGGGACAGCACAGGCAGGCCAGAGCTGCCGGATGGTGTGAGGCAGAGAAGCAGCACTTCTGAGAAAGAGCGCAGAGGGGCAGGGGCTTTACTGAGGCCTCCGGATGCAACCTAACACATGCTAGAGTGCTAAGGTTGCATCTGTCCACCTCAGGGAGTGAGGCTGTCACACTAGCAGCCTCTGCTTAAGGAGGTTCCTGGAGCAGAAAGGCAGGGGGCAGGGGTCACAGCTAGGAGTTGGGTGGGCTGGCAGCACAGGTCTGGGATAGCAGGGGAGCTGTAGCTAGGCATTTAATCTAGTGCACTGACATTGCTGGCTGGGACAGTAAGGTGTGATATGGGTGCAGAGCAGAATGGGGTCATCTTTCAGAAGTCCGTAGCACTCAACTCCACCCCATGACACAGGCAGCCCCTGTGGGGATGAGGCTGTGTGTGTTACTAGGCTGAGCCAGCTGCTGCTGCCCAAGGATTGGGGCCCTCCCCTGTGTTGCTCAAACTTCTCCTGGGAACACTGGGATGCACGTGGAGAGATTGCTGTCCCAGCTCCTGGTTGGCCGGGCTCCAGTCAGCAGCGTCTAATTGTATGTGGCATGTGTGCCCAAATGATCTTGCCACCAACGCTTCCCTCCCACTTCCTTTTGCTGCCATCCTAATTAGATTAAGAGGATCATATTGTCCCTAGCTAATCATCTGCAAGGGCAGCTGTGGCACCCGGGCACGCAGCAACTTCAGAGCAAAGGAATTTGGTGCAAGACTCCAGCTTAGCACCAAGGGAGGCAGAGATCAGCAGGGCGGGGAGCATCTCAGCTCCTTGGGAGGCAGCAGACTTTGACAGAAAAATCCTCCTGGGTTCTGGGAGTGGCCTAGATTGGAGCCCAGCACCTGACTGGGAAGGGCTGATGGCCAGGAATGTCCCCCTGGGCAGGGAAGGAAATAAGAACTGGGCTGAAGTCACTTGGATCCAGGTTGAAGGCAGGGAGAACATACTTGTCATCCCCTCATATCAGACAGGGGACCTGGGCAGGGAGATGGAGGCAGTGAATTCACTTGAAACCCTATAGTTTCTATGGCAACAAATCATGGCACTTGAACTACTGAGAAGGGGAGGGCTGTGGCTGCCGGCTGTGCCCAAGGAGCTCTCCTCCTCCTCCTGTTGGACAAGGAGCAGTGTGAGGGGCCATGGGTAGTGAGCCAGTGGACCCCCTGCCATGGGGCAGTGTGGAGTCCAGAAGCTCCAAGAGTCCTGGAGTATTCATGCAACTCAGAGGGGGATGTCGAGCTACAGCAAAGAGTTGTGAGGGGAAGATGAGACCTTGTGTTTTGGATGAAACGTTCTTGGGGGGAAATCAGCCACTGCCTGCCTCCCACAGTTGATACTGGCCACTGCTGGAGGCTTGCGGGCACCCCAGATTTGATCCTGGCAGCAGCTATCCCTGTCAGGTTTGTTAGCAAATGTGATGGAGGCAAAGGCCCACTATACACACATGCAAGGGTAAATAAAAGAAAGGGAAAGAGCTAAACATCTGCTCTTAAAAGGTAGCACTGGCCAAGCCAGGAAAGGCAGTCTCGTGGCCTGAGCTCTGTTCCTGGCTCTGTCCCAGACTGGTTTTATGGCCCTGGGCAAAGCACCTTAGCTCTCCTGTCTGTGGAACAGAGCTAGTCTTCCTCCCCATCTCCCAGAAGTGATGAGGGGCTCAGTATATCAGTGGTATATATATAAAGTGGTGGGAAAACCCACAGGTATGAGGGCATGACGGGATGCAGAACATAACACTAGCATTGTACACAGGGGAGAAAGCACTACGTGGAAGGACTGAGAATTCACACAACCTTGCCACTCCCAGAGCCCCAGCCCCTCTCAAGTGGAGGTATCCCACTCCAGCCTGTGGGCAGGGTTGAATTGGTTGATGCTAACACAAGATGCCTGACTCTGAAGCCTGTTACTTACTACCCTGCCCCCTGATGCACACATTTTATCTTTAAAAATGGAGACATGGTCCATGAGGCTGAGTGCACACTGCCCAGAATGAACCTAAGGGAGCTGGTGTAGTTCAGCATATCCCCACAAAAGGCAGCCCCTGTCCTGGCATGCATTGCTTTGTTGGGTCATAGTGGCCCTGCCTATTGGCTCCTGGCAGCACAATGACACCAGCAGCCTAGGGCAGGCAGCTGAGATGGGCCCCTCTTGGGCACAGGAGCAGCCCTCTGGAGCTGCCAAGCTGCTTATGTGGCCCACAGCCAAACCCTACTCAGGCGCCTCTGCTCTTCACACAGGGTTACTGCTGTTCAGACTCCTTCCTCTGTCTGGACAGAGCCCCTCTCTGGCTTTTGCCTGCCTCTCTCCTTGCCAGTGGGGAAACAATCAGCATTCACAGTGCGTCCTTGCTGTATTGTCCATCAGAGCTATTGGCAGGGCAATAGCAGAGTCCCAAAATTGGCTACAGAACTTTGCGTGCTCCGTTCTTTATGCTTGGAGCCACATACTGGGGCCTTCCTGAGGGACCCAGCAGGTATGAAGTAGCCAGGATAGAGGCCAATGGGCAGAGTTAATGCTGGGGCGGGGGTGGGAGCAAAGGCACCTCACCCAGGACAGAGCCCAACAACCAGTTTGATCCAGAATGTCAAAGCTCTTGGGCTTGCTTCTGCAGCCTGGACTCCCCCTTTATGCTGCAGGGGCTGGGGCTGATGCTCAGAGCAAGGGCAGCTGTGACATGGAGCTGAAGGTAAGGGCCATCAGGCCCAGGTGCTAATATGCTGCCTGACAACAAACTGGTAGAGCAGGCAGAGACAAGCCTAGAATAGACCTGTCAGCTTCTGCTAGATCCAGCAGGCTAGGCTGGGTGATGGGAAAGAAACAGCCCTCCAGCATGACACAGAATGTGGCAGGGGGTATGAGAGAGGAGGACAGGCGTGGTGGGCAGGGAAAGGAGAAATAATGGAGTGAGGTTGGAAGTCAGGGGTATAGGCCCCAGGATGCTCCCTGCAGGCCTGCTCCCCCATGTCCCCACTCCTGCCCTGTGTGGTTCCCTTCATCCCTTGCTCACTGCTGGTGACACAGTGGCTGCAACGAGGTATGGCCAGGGTCAAGCTGGCACAGGAGTTGGAAAAGGTCACACCTACCGGATCGGTTTGGAGACCTGAGAGCTGAACTTGGCGAACTCCCCCGGAGCTGTCCACTCAGTGCCCAGCTGGGGAGAGACAGAAGGCAAAAGAGAGATAAAGAGAAGGAGCCAGTATAAGAGCCACATTTAACACCACTGGAAGGAGACAGTCTGGCTGGGGCAGGGGCTTACTGACACCTACCCACAAAGGCAGCACATGTGTGGCACCTTTGTGTCCTACCTATGCACTCCATTGAAGCCTGAGCATTGTTTTTAGCATCTAGCTGGATTATTGCAGTGCCAGGAAGCCACTAGTGAAGAGTCAAAGTCCCATCAGGTTAGGCCCTGTATCCAGCAGCGCTCACAGCTTGGGTACCCCGTGGGATGCTAGGTCCCTGGAAGATCTGGGCACAGACTGTAAGCACATATTGACACCATACCCAGCAGAGAGGGTAGCAAGGCCTCCCAGTCCCTGTCAGACAGGGTTATGACTATCCCACCTGAAAGCACAGAGATTCCTACAAGTTGGAAATCCTCTCCCTTGCAGAGGAGACACAGGATTTGGCATTGGCTTTTACATGCATTACAACTAACGAAGGAATCAGAGCACTGACTTCCAGGACTTCCGTGTAGCTGAAAGCCCAATGATGCAATGGGCCTAAGAGAACTCCCTCATGTAGTTTATCAAAGGGAATTCAAGGTGCACTGGGGAAAAGTGGGGCAGGGCAGCACAGTTAATCATCACTGGGCATCAGGGAATACACATGGTCCAGGATATGGACTTATTGAAAATGTAGCCAGGCCTTTGTGTGCCCATGGGTGGCTCTGTGACAGGAAAGTGGAAGGCAGCATCTAGAGGAGCATCTGAAAGTCACCCAAGTCTCCTGAGACTCTTTCTCTTGGCTCCACTGAGCTCCAGACCAAGCTGCTGAGTACGTGCTTGGTTGTGCTGTGGTAGAACCTAGCATTACCAGCAAGGGAGCCATTGGATTAGGCCTCAAACGTGTGTATAACTGTAATGGAGTGTGCCTGCAGGGATGGCTGTAGCACCCCTGAGGGACCACACTATGCCCAATCTCCTTCTCCGACTGCCCCAATCTGGCCTCATTCTCTCTCTTGCCATGTCTTGATGTTAAAATTATTATGCTTACGAGGCTGCCTTTAGAGAACCAGAGTTCAGCTTTCAATGCCTTGCCTCCACCCTGCTCATTATCAGCCTGCCAGTCTGCCCAATCTACACTCCCTAGCCTGAGCAGAACTTGGTCTTGTCTGAGCCCCCTAGCTCTTTCAGGCTTTGGCCCTTCTCCCTAGGCTTTAGTCCCTAGCTGTCCACTGGGTCCCAGATCCTGGCAGGGCTCTGTCTGGGTCTTAGCCTCTCACAACATGGAATATCTCACAGGCACCTCACCAGTAACCTCCTCCTCCTCTTTAAGCCACCCCAAACTTCACAGTTAACATGAACCTAACCCCAAACCCAAATGCTTTTCCTTTTCAGCTCCCTGCAGAGCTCCTACACCATAGAGATCTAACTCAGACTAGTATGAGTCAAAGTGACCTCTCAGCCCTGTGCCAGGGCTCATATAGTCCCTGACTCCTCTTCCTCTAGTCTCTTGAACTGGCTATCTGCAAAACAGGGGCAAGGTGCTATCAATCCTCAAATCTGCCACAAAGGCTCTTAGTCTCCCTCATCAGATGCTCAGCCCTGTAGCTCCACTTTCTGCAGGCTGCATTTCCCCCAGCCTGATTCCTGCTACACTGCTCCTGCTGCCTTCCACTAGAAGGGGAGAGATCCCCTGCTAAAATAATAACAAGACAGATGGGGTCTGTGGGTGACAGAGCGGGCTGTTGTCTCTCATTTCTGACCCCAAAGGTTCACAAGCTAAACACAGGATGAGAAACAACAGATGGGGATAAAGCAAGTGAGGACAAGGTGAAAAGCTAAAAACAACCAAAGGATTTGCTTTTCTACATGTGTCACCAGACTGGCCAACTCTATGCCACAAGAAGTCACTGAGGCCAAAGACTTAACCCAGAATTAGGCACTTCCAATGGTCGTGGGAATATCTAGCTCTGTGACAGCTAATATTAATGGAAATTCTGGAATTGGTAGCAAACTTCATGTGTTGGGGCTCAAACCAGTCTCTCACTGCTGCTATTGGGGGTGTGTAGAGCAGCTGGCCCCTCATCAGCTCACTGCAGGCTTTCTGCAACTTTTCCCTGAAGCAGTTGGTGCTGGGAACTGTTAAAGACGTGGAGTGGGGACTGAAACAGGTGAGTGGTTCAATGGTCCAAATATAAAAGGAAAACAATCCTCTTGATTGTTAGCAGCTAGGAGCCCCCACATCCCACCCCTTTCCCTTGCCACATGCTGCCATTAAAGACGTTATGGCAAAGGTGAGATTTAAGGAAATAAGGAAGTTGTCTGTCTAGCACCATTTTCATTAGTTCTCACCTGTCCCTTATTCTTCATCTTCCCACCAGAGGCCAGTGGACCCTGTCTCTGCTAAGAGCAGTGGCTCTGCTACAATTAGTTGCCATTTTGCACATTATTAAAAGGCAAAATCCTCACAGTCTTTCCATGAAGAGTGGAAATAAAGCTCCCCTCCCTTCTATGTCTTAATTCACTGAAATAGCTGGATATAGTCTCTTCAGAATTGCTGCAAAATAAAAAGCACCCCCTTACAGCATCAAAGTGAATTAAATTTTGTTCCCAGAGGCCAGCTCACAGGATCAGAGAAATCACAGAAATCATAGAAATGTAGGGCTGGAAGGGATGGACCTCGAGAGGTCATCTAGTCTAATCCCAGCCTAAGGAAGGTTCATCCCTATCCAAACCACGCTATACCTACCCATGATCTAACCTCTTAGAAAAAACTGACATTAACCTGACAACACAAGACTTAACATCCTAACCTGGCACAGTAAAGCAAGGGGGCTACAACAGATACTGATGGTTTTCAGGCAGTGAAAGCAAACACTGGGGGCAGAGGTGCCCTCTCAGCCCTTCTGCAGCACCATATTCAGGACACAGCAGGCACATGTGTGATGGTGCTTGGTACATGCCTTGGGGCTGGGCTGAGACATCCTCCAGATGTCAGGATCACAGCTGGACCTGCTCAAGTCTTTTATGGAACCCCATGGCAATTCTCCTGCTTCTGGTTATACTTAACCATCTCACCAAGGGGCTTTTTCCACCAGACAGTATTATTAGCATGGGGACAATAAAGAGTGCAGGGAGAGCCTGGAGTCTGCAACAGCTCAGCAGCACTGGCTGCACAGGTTGATGGCACCTAGGTGGCAGGAAGGCTAAGGGGAGAAGTTGAAGAGGGTGCCCTACCTTTCCCACAAATGCCACCAGCCGAGTGTTGGCCGGACTCTCGTCAGAGCTGAGCCAGAACTCTGAATTGTCATCTGATGCCACAGAGAACTGGAAGTCCCCTATGGGGAAAGAAAAAACAGAAATGTTAGATGGGGCCATGAAGCAAAGGGAGCAATCGGTGGCAGTATGGACCAGTGGTGGTAGGAAGCCTGTGCCAGACTGAAGGCCATTTTTTGTCTTGCAAGGACAGTGAGGGGGCAAAGTTGTGAGGGCACTGGAGTCTGCAGTCCTCATGCAACTCAGTGCATTAGGGACTCTCAGCTCTGCAGCTGTCCAGCTGGGACTGGAGCTCTCAGCATCCCCAGAGCAATCCCTTGGGACTAAGTGGCAGGTGGCGAGGAGAAGGCCTTTGTAGTTCCACAGCTATTCCTGGTTCTGAAGGCTGATGTTTGAGACGGGGCGGGGGGGGACAAGGCTTGGGGAGACAAGGTCTTCTATGCAACCCCCACCCAGCCCAGCTATAGGAGGTGGGTCGTGGGGTTGGTGCAGACACTAACCATCCTTGAAGGGGTGGATATAGCCAAAGACCCGCAGCCCATAATTCTTCCACTTGGGTGACACAGCTAGTTTCTTCACTGTCATGCGAGACTGCGAACAGGCAGAGAGAGGGAGTGAGAAGGAGCAGGAATGCATCATGCACCTTGGGCTCACACTGTGCCCTCATGGACAAGGCAGGAGAGCCCTCCCGTCCCTACAGCCTGGTTCCACCCCATGGCCCCCTGCTATTTTAAGGGTCCTGTTTCCTTGGTCCCCAGCAACAGGGGCATCCTTACTGCCTCCCCAGTGGAAGGCCGAAGTCCCCCCTTCACTCTCCTGTCTAGGGCAGCCTGAGCGAGTGGTGACCATCTGGCCCCTGTATCAGCAAATTTTCCCCAGAGACAGCTTCCCCATGGAGCCTGGTTAGTTCCACTGGGATCAGCACCTGATACAAGGACTGGCAGTGACTACACTGGGCACTGGCTTGGCCCCAAGGGTCTGAATGGTTTGGCAGAGATCAAACTCAGGGCAAGAGGGGACTGACTAGGCCCATTCATTGTTGAGGGAGACGGGAACCACCCTCATCCACTCCCTAACCCCCCGCCGCATAGCAGACAGAAGGGATCATGCCTCCTCCCCAGAGCAGGAAGGGCTTGGGACTCACATGAGGGAAAAGCGGGAAGTGAAGGTTCTTCCTCAGCTGCCTCACAGCCCCTCCGCACCAGTCCTCGAAGACGTGCAGGTTTGCCTTCCCTTTGTACTGCAAAATGACAACCCCACATGGGGATGTGAGCACACTCCCTGCCCCAAAAGCCAGAAACCCCCTGAGCACCCAACAGCACCAGTGAAAGATCATATCCAACGTCCAAAGAAGTCTCTGGATTAGACCCCAGTGAACCAGCTGAGCTCACACTCGTTGTGGTGAAGAGATCTCTAGTCACAGATGTGCCAGTGGCTGAAACAGGAGTAAATTACCAAACTGGACAAAGTTGTAGAAGCCTTCTCTATCATCTGCACCCAGACAGAGCAAAACCCTGGGCAAAAGGAAGCCAAAAGAAAGCCAAGGACCTAGCATGGTATCCATGCAGGCTGAGCTCAAGTTTCAGTGACAAGAGTCTTCCACCGAGACCAAACAGCCCCCTCACCCATACATACATCATTGCAGAGACCTGGTACTAGAGGTTCACTGACTCGTTCAGCAATGACCCAGATTTCTTGCCTCTCCTGACAATCCTCCCAGCTTCACAGCAAGGCAAGGAAGTACCAGCTATTATTTTGCTCAGCAGCCACCATCTTAGCCAACACCCCAGGACTGAAACTACAGAGAAGAAAGCAGCTACTGCTTACAGCTTGTGGTAAAGGGCTAAAGCCCTGGCTACAGGGTTGTAACACAATCATATTCTCCATGACTGAGCACAGAAGGGGGCCTATAACACACTTTACATCTTTTTAAACTGCCAGACCCAGCCTGAGTGGAGGAGACAGTGCAGCCTCCAGACTCATGTCAGAGCCCATTGCCACCTGAGCTGGGATGGCTGCAGACAGACGCATGCTGGAGAATGAGCAGGCCAGGACCTTCCTGCATGTGGGCATGCTCAGGGAAGGGAGAACCTCCAGGGAAATTCCTGGAGAGCCCAGTATAGTGATTCCCTTTCAAAAAGCTCTGAGCCTAGTCCAGCCACTTGACCAGCCCAGGGTGGATGGCCATGAGGAGATCCAGAACTGAGGCTGCATGGGGTGATCTAAGCCACTCACCAGAAGACCACCCAAAGGATGAGCAAGGGGGGCCCTTGAGCAGTGACTGACACTGAGATGACCACTGGGTCTCCTCTTTGCTTCAAAGGGGAATCTGAGTGGCTGTATGGAGTGGCTGTATGGAGGAAGTTCCCAGGACAATGGACAAATACTCATACTTGGTCCCAGAGCAGAGCCCACCAGGCAATGATGTGGCCTGGATCTCACTCTTTTGGGATACCTCCTTTGTATGATCTAATCACAGAAGTCACCCAGAGGAGGCCTGGGGAGCAGTGCCCAGTACCCTTGCCCCTCCTCTCTAATCCTACTCTGCTAATCAGCACTTCTCAGCCACAGCCTAGGACCCACAGGGACTTCCACACTGTCACAGAAGCAGAGGAGCTGCAGCTGGAATAATTTATGAGCTCATTATGCAGGTAGGTGCTGGGGCACAGGTGGCTGGTTATCTGGGTCACAGCACTGAGCTCTGACCCAAACTGTGCTTTGACTACAGCTCTGCTGTGGGGCACCATGCATGGGGCTAGGGCCAGGGATCCTGATGGTTTACGTCCTCTAGCAAGATGCGATGTATGAAACTCCATGGCTTCTGTTCTCTCTTGGCTGTGGGGCTGATGCTGTCACAATACCTCCTGGCCTGGGGTTGGCTTAGAGAGGGAGGCATGAGCCCTGGAGAATAGCATTGAAGAGCTGCAGCCAGCTGGGCAGATGCACCCAAGGCTCTGCAATAGTCTTTATTACTGGAGGGTTGTCCATGTATCAGTGGGGGAAAGAAGATGCCCACTTTTGCAGTCGTTCTCCCAGAACCTCTTCCTTCTTCCCTGGCTCTGCCTCCTCCACTCCCCCAAAACAGAACTTCCCTGCCCCTGCTTACCTGGTCATTCCAGGGCAGAACATGCTTGGTCATGTTCAGGACAGGGGCCCTTCCAGCTCGGTCTGGTCTTTGACCTCGTGGAAACCAGCTGTCACCATCCTGCCCTTCGTTCTGTTGAGGGAACAGGAGACAATGAGAGAAGAGCCACCCATGGAGGGGGTCACTGGAGAAGGGGGATGCAAACCTCCCATCCCAGCATGCTTTGCAGTGAAGAAGCCACAGTCTCTGCTGCTGGTGCCAATGTAAGTGGCCTCTGACATCAGAGAAGCTGCCCAACTTTGAGCAGCAGAGGTGTGAGCCCAGCAAATGATGTTAGCTACCTGGGAAGTGAAGCCCCCTCTGAGAAGCCAACACTGCTGTTAAACAACCTCCCCCAGTGATGCTGTGCAGCAGCTTAGGACAGGATCCTGTATCCCATGGAAGCCAGGGGGAGATTTTAGGCTGTGTTATAGGAATGGCCTCAACAGGGGATCTGGTAGCACCAACTCCTTTGCAAGAAGCAGCGTGGGCTCTAACCATCTTATTTTGTTTGCTGTAGCCCTGGAATTGCCAGCCAGGGCTAGCCTGATCACTGCTGTGATGGGGCAGCAAACTCTGAGTGCATGCCAGAGACTCCAGGGCCTTTCTGGTCCATCCTCTCAGTACCCAGCACCCTTTTAACAGCAACATTCCCTACTGACTGCCACCGTCATTTATTTGCATTGCAGCAGCTCCTCAAGGCCTGGATCAGGGATTAATGCTCATTGTGCAAGCAGCTGCATACACCTAATACACTCCCTGCCCCTTTACAGCCCCCGGCCTGGGGACTTCAGCAGGGCACAGAGGGAAACACCCCAGTGACCAGGGGGTGGAGTGGACAGACTGTCTCAGCTGGCTTACAGTCTGAGTGCCAGATGAGAGAGAACAGGTGAGTACAGACAGGCGGGGAAGGGAGATGGCAGGATGCACTGGGGTGTGCTTGGATGCTCACTCTTTCCCTTCGCAGCCTACAGGCACAGAATCTGATCTGGGTATTGTCGGGATGAAGGGATGGGAGGTAAGAAAGTGTTTATTTGAGGAAGTGACATCGAAGGACTGAGCTTGGCAGGTAATATAGAGCTCAGGGAACCCTGGACTTGTTCCTGTCCCTTATAGGGGCCCAGCCCTGCAGACTCTGAGCTGGGGAGCCCCTGCAGGCAGTAGGACATAGGAAGAGGTGTCCCCAATGACCAGGGGTTGGAACAGATGAGCTGCCATGCTGTGCACTAGCTGAAGCCACATCTGGGCAGGAAGGCCTGTTCCTGGGTGCAAGGAAGTTGAGGGAGCCTCTGTGCCTACAGACAGAGAGCAAGGCAGCACTGGGAGGTAGGAGACTGGTGAGATGCATGTGGCATTTACCTCAGCAAGATGGTGAACTGGGCAACACTAGCTAGAGCGCTGAGCCCTGTTCACTCCAGGAGGCCATCAGCCATGTCAGCAGACTAGGAGATGGGGTAAAGATTGTGGTGGGGACACAGCTGAAAGCAGGTGTCTGGAGAGGAGGAGACATGAATGCAGAAGGAGGCGAGAGGGATCTGCATGTCTGGGAGCCCTAGGGATGCTCCTTTCCTTTTGGGCTCAGCATTCCTGGCGTGCACAGAGGCCAGGGGAAAATAAATCAGCCCCGCCCCGAGCCATTTGTGCCATCCGCTCCTCATTACACAGAGACAAATTACCCAGGCGATTAGGGTACTTGAGAAGGAAACAAAGAGCCTTCCCTGTGATAAACGACTCCTTGTCAAGCTCCCCGTCTGGTGGAATTAATTCTCATGCAGCTGTGCCGGGCACAGGGAGGGGGCCGGGAACGCCCCCAAAGCTGTGACCCTGGCTCTGTGGGGTTGCAGGAAGGGCTGGTGGAAGCATCACGGGTGGCACCAGCCTGGGGCTGTGCCAAGGGGCACGTGCTGGATGTCTCAGGGGGAGATGGGATTCTGGGATCGCGGCAGCTGCAGCGTGTGCCTTGGGCTGATAAGACCCATGTGGGGCATAGGAGGGAAGTGGGCACTGGCAGCCTCTGAAAGCCTGCGCTGTGCCATGACCTCAATGCTGGGAGCTGAGTTCTGACCCCAATACTGCGACAGCCCCTTGACTCCAGCTCACACTGACAGGCTGTGCCACCTCAAACAATCACAGTACCCCTCAGTGCCTCCATTTTCCCATCTGTAAAAGGAGAGAGAAAACTCCAAAGCAGCATTCCCTCATTTGGGCACATCCCTGAAATTTGTGAGCTAGCAAGACACGTGATTGGCAGGTCTACTTGTTCCGTGCCATGACCCTTCCCCAGACGCTGCCCTGGATGCCCCCGGGGAGAGAGGGAGGGCCCTGAGGAAGGGCCCAAAAGCCTCTCAAACAGCTCCCCTAACTATACAGCTGGTTGGATAAAAGATAATCACAAAAAACTGTTGCTCCTGGATAAAAAGGCATCCACCCACAGCAGTGATAATCAGTGGTATTTACACCCCAGGTGCAGAAAGAGGACACAAACCATGCCCAGCTAACCCAGCTATGCTGAGGCACGCTGGGACAGCCACTGATATAAGGGGTGGTCTTTGTCCTGGAGGCCAGAGACATGTCTATGGTACAGCCTAAGAGGAAAGGACATGGTGGGTGTGAAGGGGGAGGAGAGGGTAGGGGGTGCAGCTCATAAAGGGAAGGTGGGCTATTGGTTTACAAGTGCTGGCCTCCAATACCTGAGCCCAGCTTCACCACTTCCCAGACAGCTTGGTCTAGTGCCCATGGGTGTAATGCATGTATAGGGCATGTGTGGGCATGCAGGGCTCTTGGGATTTGAATGTCAGCCAAGCATGCTCCTGTGGTGAGGCAGGCAGGGGGAGGAAAGCCTTTCTGTCTGCTCCATGTCTCCCTTCTCTCCCACTCCATCTGCAGACACTGCACGTGGGTGTCACAGCAAGGCATGACACTGATAAGGACAGGCAGCAAAAGCAATCTGGGACAGTGAGATGGCCTTTAGCAACTGAGACCATTGGGGAGCCAATGATGTGTGGGGCTGGAGTGCACAGCATCCGCCCAGGACAGCCAGCCACCACAGCAGTCACCAATGTAACAGGACAAGCCGGGACTCTCATGCCCGAGCAGAAAGTGCGCATTTCTGCTGGAGGGGCTCAGCTGGCCCAGAGGTCACATGCCAGGACTGTCACAGGCTCCTTCCTGAATAACAGTTTTACTGCTTCCACAGGCCACCAGGCCAACAAGAGCCATCTAAATCAGTGTTTCTCAACCTGTGGGTTGCAACCCAAAAGTGGGTTGTAAGAATATATGAAAGGATTGTGAACTGTAAAAATGGATTCTCCTTTAAAGGAAAACAAATGTGGGAAACTGTGGCTTTTTCCTTGCAGGCTGCCAGGGTTTTGGGTATGGGGCTGCTTGGGGTCCCCATGCCCCACGCACCCACCCCCTACCCCACACACTGGGGGGCTGGGACCTGGGGGCAGAGGGTCAGGAGTGGGGGGCGCTGTGCCAGGACTGCCCATTGATGTTTACAAATGGGTCCTGGTACAAAAAAGGTTGAGAACCACTGGTCTAAACAACATGGAAGTCACCTGAGTATTGTTGTAGGACAAGATCCTGCTACCCCACTCAGAGGGTTGGATGCAGATCCTCCCAGCCAGCAGAGGACACCAGCACCAAAGAACCTCAAGGGGACTCATTTCATTGGAATATTTTTATTCCAATAAAGGTTGGAATAAAAGGCTTTATTCCAGGTTTTCAATAAACACCTAACACCCAATGATTTTTTTCCTTATTTTCCAGTTTGTTTTTTTCCAGAATATTTCTTCCAGAAAATTTGCTCCCAGGAAACAATTTCTGTAAAGGTTTTCCTTTCTCCAGTGGATCCAACTCTGGGTTGCTTGGAAAGCAAAATTACAGGGGTTCTTGCTAGCTGCTAAGAGCCAGGTCACAAGGGGTTAAAAAGGAACCAGCCTTTCCAGCAGGAAGAAGTGGTGGTAAATTATTCTTTTGCAAAGGTGAAAGCAAGAGAAGCCTGGGATGTGATTATCATTGATCTGTTCTACAGTACCATGAGTGCGAAGTGCCTGGTGGAAGTTAAGAGATGTGCCAACCTATTTTATTCCAGGCATGCAGCCCACATGGATTGGATCTGCCTCCCTGAGTCACCAGCTGGGAGGGCTAGCGCCTGGCCTGGAGGCATCCAGCTGCCCCCATTCATTTCTTCACCCAGTTTAGCCAGCTCTCCCTTTCTGTTCTGTCTAAACACTGATTTGTTTCTGGCTCTGGATGAGTGATTTGGGCACTGAGTGGTCTGGGTAATCCATCCTCTGCTAGTTCTGCTCCCTGCCTGCAGAGTTACCAACTCCTCATAAAAATCCTCTAGTAAACTGAAGTCTCCCACGTTCACAGCCTGCATCCACCATCCCCATAGCAGGAGGCCATTAAGGCTTGTTCAGCATCCTTTTATGGGCTTTCCTTGGTCCCCTTTAGGGCTGGAAGTAATTATTAGACACCTGGAACAGGCAGCTAGTTTCTTCCAGCCCTGGTTTTCTATGATTTACTCCATTTTGCCTAAGGGAACGTTGGGACCTAAAGAAGTCAGGTGACTTCCCCAAAGTCCCCATGAAGCCTGTGGAAGATCTCGGAACTGAATCCCAATCCCTGGTCCTCACTATAGTGCCCTGGCACCAAGCACAGTCTTCCCATCCACCATCATGGACTTGATCGCAGACTTGCAAAGCAAGCCATATGAGGAACAGCTGAGGGACTTGGGCCTCTTCAGCCTAAAGAAGAGAAGGCTGAGAGGGGACTTGGTAGCAGCTTACCGCTACATGAGGGACGTACATGAAGGGCTCAGCGAACAACTGTTTACCAGGGCACCCTTGGGAAAAACCAGGAGTAATGGCCACAGACTCCAGGAAGACTGTTTCAGGCTTAACCCTAGGAAAATCCTCTTCACAGTCAGGGTGTCCAGACTGTGGAATAAGCTCCCTCCAGAGGTGGTGCAATCGCCTACCTTAGAAATCTTCAAGAGGAGACTAGACAGTCACCTTGCTGGGGTCACCTGACCCCCACTTATCTTTCCTGCCTAGTGCAGGGGGCTGGACCCGATGATCTTGTGA